GGATTTATTTCTACCATTGCATTTTGGGGTTTTTTTTTTAGGGGGGCAATAATTAGGTTTGTTTGTTTGTTTAGATGGAAGTACTGGGGATTGAACCCAGGACCTCATGCATGCTAAGCACCAGCTCTACTACTGACCTACACTCTCCCCCTCTACCGTTGCATTTTGTACTTTGTTTTCTGTGTTCTTTTTTCTTTTCCTTGACTGGATCTAATAGACTTTATCTCATTTCCAACAGCTGCTCTCCTGATCTGAAAGTTATATACTCTATTTCTATTTGTTATTACTATTATTCTAGACTTAAAATCTAGACTTAAAGACTGCTATTTGTTCCCCATTTCTATTCTCCCCTTCTCTCTCATGTGAGTAGAACCTCTGACTTTTAACAGAGTACATGGTAATCCAGAACAAAGACTACACTTTCCAATCTTCCCTTCAGCTAGGTACAACCAGGTGAATAAGTTCTGGCCAATGGGATATGAGTAGAAGGAATGAAGGCAACCTTTGGGTCATGCACTCAAAGAGAAGGGGTTGGAATGCGGACATGAGGCTGAACCACCTTCAAACGTGCAGCAGACCTCCCCGCTGAGCTAGACTGCATATGTCTGGGATGTTACATGAGAAGGAATGGATTTTTAACCACGCCTACTGTTTAGTCTCATCCTGCTTCCTGAAGCTGAGGCTTCAACTCTCTCATCAATCTTGGTAACATTGAAGCCATTATCTCTTCAAGTAATGTCTCTCCTTCACTCTCTTCTCCACTTCTGGAATCTCAGGAAGGATCTTGTCATTCTGACATCCACATCTTGGCCTATGTCTTCACCTCTCAGCCCTGCGTTCTGGGTGACGTCCTCAGGTCTCTCCTTCCATTCATGAAGTCCATCTCCCAGGGCGCCTAGCCTGATGTTTAATCTATCCACTGAACATTTAATTTCAGCGCAAACAGTTTTCACTTCTAGCAGTTCCGTTCGATTCTTTTTCTGATCTTTTTGGATGGTGTCTTGTTCTTGTCTCATAGTTTCAATAACTCTATTACATCTTCAGTAGTTTTGAACTCACTGATTTTATAGTGTCTTGCCCACAGTTCTATTATTAGAAGTTCTTGTGGGGGGTGGCGATTTGAGTCCAGTTGTTTGTTGTATATGTGGACTCTCACTCACTATGGATTACTCTCTCAAGTGTGCAGTCTTTAGTCATTTTTGGATCATATATTCATCTTCACTAAGAATTTTTTTCCGCTGTGGGGATCCTGTGTGATCAGGGTCAAGGTCTTGTTCCTCCAAAGAGGTTCTGCATCTGCTTCTACAAGGTCTCCCAGGGGTTATCACCGGCCCAGAACTTAAGAGTTCCTCATGCACACAGGTGGTATAAGTTCTAATGCTAAGCCAATAACATCATCAGAGAACACTTTTCATTTTCTTTATTTTTCTTTTTTCTGCCCAGAGCCTGATCTAAGTATGAGAAGCAGTTCTGTCAGCTACCTGTGCTGGTGGATGACTTTCTTTCTCTCGTCCACCTTTCTATTTAGTGCAAAGCCCTTTGATAGTCCTGACTTCACATGGAAGTTTTCGTTTCAGCTCCAGCCTCCAACCGGCCAGACCTCATCTCTGTCTCCACAGATATTAAAACTCAACCTCAAAACTTTCATTACTAAAGGGAAGCCAGGCACTCACCCGTCCCAACTCAGCTGCCGGAGTTGGGTACTACTCTGGTGTTTCCTCTTCATTTTAACCCTGAGGCTTCCTCTTATTTTTTTAGTACCTCGCTCTGTACTTAGAAGGATATTTAAAATATTTAATCTAGTATTTCTAGGTATCTCATAGAGGTCATTTTTAAGTTATTACTAGAAACAGAAGTCTCTTGTCTCTGACATGTGCTTTAGACCAGCTGGCTGAGTCAACCCTACTTACTCCTCCCTTCCCTCGCACTCCTCTAATGGCATATTCAAGACAAGGTTCTCAAATTTGATAATGCACAAAACCAAGGTCCGGGCACTTCTTAAACATACAGATTCTTAGCAGCATGAGACTTGGAGCAGGAAGACTAGGGTGGGGCCCGGGAACATACATGCTTAACAAGCATTCCAGCTTTCTGGTAGAGGGGGTCCCGGGACCACACTTTGAGAACTACTATTTAAGGCTTGCTTCCCTTTCCCTGAGACAGGTGAATTCAACCCCTTCTACTAACAGTACCTGAACCACACCCATAGGAAGACTGCTGGTCTCTGTTCTGCAAAGCCCGAACTAGGAGACAGCAGCGCCAAAAGACCCAGGGTTCACGAGTTCCAGTCCAAGCCAGTCCAGGGCCTCTTCCTTCAGCAGTGGAAAGGCAGAGGTGACACCAATGACTTGTCTCCCTGGACTCCAGGCTGTGGCGTTGTCAACAAAACAGGTCATTTACGCGGGCTTGACTCATCAAGACTTTGGCCTTACTTGGAGAGAAGGGAACTGACTTTTACTTTTGTACTAGGAAAGAAGGCTTTGCTAGCAGATGGATACTGTTAAAAAAAAAAAACAACTATAGAGAGAATGGTTGATTCATTTAAGATATATATATTTAGTGCAGGTGACCACTCTCTAGACGGGTTGTGCTCTAATATGCCTCAGAAAACAGTTGTTTAGAATGTATCTCCAAATGGAAACATGAATGATGGTCAGTTTCCCAGACCAGCACACAGAAACCTGTAAAGGTTGTTCCAATTTAAGACTTATTTTATGCCAGAACCTCTACATATGTGATACGAAACAGTTCTCAAAATAATTCTGAAAGGTAGACACTTGTGTCCCTGCCTTAGACTTGCCCAGGATCACATGGCTAGTGGCAGAAACAGGTGGGTCTGGTGGGTCACCGGGAAACCAGGCTGCCTTCCACTGCTCGTACCCTTAAAAGAGGGTGAGCAGTAGGGTGGGGATTTCTATTCTTCTCTCCTAAAACATCTTCCTTCCCTGCACTGAGGAAGAAATGTTAAGGGAATAACAGAGCCCCACTGTAGCCACACATGACTCCAGAAATGATGCAGGACCAAGAAGATTAGTATCATTTCTTTGGTGTGTCATAGGAGAAGCAAAGCAGGAAAGAATGCAAGATGACAGATTAGTAAACTGCTTTGATTTTGATCTTCAAAAAACCAAACTACCTTGGGTTTCATTTTGCCTGTGCAGAAAACATCTTATTAAAAGTTCACCTTCCTGCAACAGGTAGTAAATAAGCCTTAGAGATCTAATGCACAGTATACTGAATATAGACAACAATATTGTATTATAATCATCAAACTTGCTTAGAGACTAGAGCTTAATTATTCCAACCACTAAAAAGATAATTAAATAATATAATAGAGGTACTACTTATGGCTACAATGGCAATCATATTACAGTATACAAATGTATCGAATTAATATGTTGTACATCTTGAATGACACAATGTTATATGTCAAATATAGTTAATCAATCAATCAATCAATCAAACTTCTCAAAAAGAAAAAGAAAGCTCGCCTTCCCCAACTCTCCCTCTCTGACAGAGTCAGGGAGGTTAGGTGCAACCTGCTCCCAGGACCCACCTTGTCAGCCAGCAGCTCCCTTATCTTGCTGGCCTGCAGGCGGAATCGGAAAAGCTGGGTTTCCAGGGCCAGGCAGCGCTTCTGCCAGTCCACGCTGGCCCGGGTCTCCACCTTGAGTTCTGCCATGATGGAATCAACTTCTGGATATTCCAGGGAGCCCTGAGAACCAGCACACAGGGTGGGGAAAGATAAGAAAGTGGGTAAGGAGGTGTTCTGTGGGGAAAGAAGGAGGAGACCAAAGGAGGACAGAGCAAACAGGGCGGGGGAAGGTAAAGTGAGCCTCACGCTCCCTCTGTCCCAGGGCCGGCTTTCTAAGCTGAGTGTGTCCCGTTCCATCATAAATTAGCTGAGCAACCTCAGCCAATCACAAAACTGAAGAAGTCACAAGAATAACCTAGTTTCACTGTTACAGAAGTGAAAATAGGGCTCATTTGTTTTTTCATTCAGTTATCCATTTAACAAATATTTATTCATTCAGCAAACATTCATGTGCCAGACACTATTCCAGGCACTGGAGACACAGAGGGAAATAAGAGAGGTCCCCTTGTCTTTGAGTTTTTCAAGGAAGATCTAAATGCAAAATTACAATGTAGTTACAATTGCTAATCAACATCCAGATAAATGGAAGCAGGGAAATGGAGTGGACTATGCTGGGGGTAGGGGTGGGGGTGTGTTTAGGGAAGGCTTAATGTGAGTAACAGATTCATCCGAGATCACAGGAGGCAGAACCCTGGTTCCTAGTTAAATACTGATTCTTTACAACTATATAGATTTTAGATGGGGAAAAAAAATGGAACAAAAATGTAATGTCTTGAATTTCCTGGATGATTTTCTATTTAGTTGGGATTTTGTCAATTGTTTTCATCAAATCACCCTGTTTTGGGACAGATTCTCACTCTTTTCTTTTAGGTTATAAAATGCAAACCAGAAAACTGGTAGATATTTTGCTGTAGCCTCTGGAGAAAACCACAAGTCTTTTTTCGAAAACACTTTACACAAATTCAGTACAAATCAAGTAGACACCTAACATATCCCCAGCCAGGGGAATTTACCCAGATGTCTCCTGAACATACTTTAGGAAAAAAAAAAACTGGGTTGGGGATGAGAAAATGAAGAAGGTTGTACAAATGTGCATGTGAGGGGAGATACAGGCACAGAGGACGCACAGAGCAGAGACTGGCTCGAAGACACATCCATCAGCAGGACTTTTAAAAATCCCCCTTCTAGGGTGCTCTTAATAATCATTGGCAACAACACGGTCTGCCCCAAACCATGACACATTGTCACCCTAGTATCAGGTGATTTTAAGGAATGACTGTTAATTTTCTAGGTTGACAATATTTTTAATATCTTGTTAGAGATACATATGGCTTACAGTTCATATGTATCTGGAGTTTGCTTTAAAAACTTCATGGTAGGAGGTGAGGAATCGGGTGGAGGGAGATACATAAAATATGTCAAAATATTGATAATTTCTGAAGCTAGGTGATGGGTATACTGGTCTCTCTACTTAAATATATGGCTGGAATTTCCCATAATAAAATTTGTCATTAAAAAAAAATCTCCTTTCCCTTCTTCAGGAGACACATGGCCTCAGAAAACCCAGCCACCTCCTATATGTCAGTGACTATTACCCTGGGGCATCAGTGAGCCTGTCCTTGATGGGTTAACCACAGACACTGCTTCCCACCCCACACTGACTTTTACAGTCTCTTTCTCCCATTATACACCACAAATAGCTATTACTTACCGGGTCCTTATTATACGCCAGGCACACGTGGCTTCTTTAATTTTCATGACAACCCATGAGACAACGGGGTGGGCGCTAGTCCACACCCTCAGGTGAGGGTACTGAGGAACAGAGTTCTGTAGCTAGAAAGTAGTAGGGCTGGGGTTCTCATTTCAAAGTGCCTGTCCCTAGTCACTGTATTCCTTACCTACCCAAAAACTGCAAAGAATCATGATTTCACAGCGAGTAAGGCAGACCGTTAAGAATGAGAGAAATAGTGTAAAGGATCTCTCAGGATCCTGGGCACTAAGGTGAACCTATATCCCAGATTTCCCGAGGCACTGTGGTCTCAAATATTCTGACACTCTACCCTCTCCATAAGCACAGACATTTATCACGTGTCCTGACTTTTGTTTAAAAAACAGGGTCAGTAGACCTGTAGGGAAAGGCCCAACAATTAAACCACTGATGGGCCTGGTGACGGAGTCTTTCGGTTCTGGGCTGCTCAGAACACTGGGCACATGACCTCAGCCCTGCTCTCCCTCCCGGAACTGTCATCTCAAACAATCTGACATTGTGACCTCCCAGCAATCCCCACCTCAAAAGACTGGGACCAACTGGAACGAGCAGGAAGACAAAAGACAAAAACAAAACATGACCTTCTCTGAGTTGAGATCACAGCTGGAAAGACAAAACAGAATCTTGTGGGGCCTCCAGAGAGGACCCAGAGGCTTCATGTTTGGTTTTCTTTGTCCTTTACGTGGATTTTACTTTCCTTGCAGATCCAAAGCTAGGACCTGCGAGTTGTGCGACCTAGCCCAGGGCTAAGACTGAACAGTAAAAGCACCCAAGTAAAACCAAAGGGCAGGGGAAACGTAATTCTTTTGTGTCCTTAAAAAAGCTTGGTGAATTTTAATTCCCTTGTATCGACTGTCAAAGCCATGGCTCAGATTCCATGGGGAGAATGGAAACCCAAATTATCCAAATCTCCAGGGACTTTGGAAATGAAAGCATGTCATTGGTCTCTGCCTTGCTGTGATACCTGGGGTTATACTAGTCTGCAGGGAGTGCTCTCCCAAGTCCAGCATCTTCAAGACATCACGGTTTTGAACTCATCAATCGCCCTGCTTAATCCTTTCCCTGCCCTGGGGATGCTGGCAAGGGAGCTGGCACTGCTGCTAGGCTTGTATCGGCATGCAAGGGGAGCTAAAAGGTCTCTAAATGGGATCTGGAGCAAGTTGCCTGCTGCCAAGCCAAGGCCCAGAGGCTCTTCTGACAGAAGTACGTGGTGGAAGCTGCAGCTGTAAGACACGGGATATTAAGGGAAGATACCAGCAGGTTGAACCTCAGCTGCTAAGTCACCTTGTACTTGTACCTCGCATAAAGATGTAGAAGAATGAGCAGAAATGAACTTGCAGAATGGTTCTTAACTTTTCAAAGCATTGCTTTGACAGGTGTTATTTCTCTTGTTACCCTCTCACTATCCCTGAGATTGAGGACAAGTGATATAATTCACAATGACCAGACAAGAAAGCTCGTCCCATCTGTGACTTGATTAGAGAAACAGAACCAAGTAGGTCAGACCTGGGCCAAGATCCCTGATCTGCCAACATCTAAAACTGTCCTCTTTCCATTAGATGCTTCAGTAATGGTGGTGCTACCAGGCTAGCCTAACACAGATACAGCATTGATGTGGTGTTGATGGAGAAATGATAAAAAGGATGTGAGCTGGGGACACACTCCAGCTCAATTGTTGGTTTCATTTTTCATCTGGAAAGCTTCAAACACACATTAGTAGGGAGAACAGTACAATAAATCCCCATGTGCCCTCCACCGGCTACAATGATTACCAGCTCATAGCCAGTTCTCTCTTTTCTTTTTTTTTTCCTTCATAGCCAGTTCTCTTGATGTCCACTAGTGCCCAGCATGCTAAACTGCTTGGCAACAAAGAGTCAAATGACTGGCTTGGCCTTGGCACCTGCTTTGGAACTCCCTGAGCCCTCCAGCATCCTGGACTGACGTGGCCACAAGGGCCAGTAGAGATACGCTTCCGAGGCAAGGGCTGTAGGTAGGCTGGTGGTGAAAAGAAGGCACAGGCAGTCATTAGGTGACTTCCTGTCTCAGAGAAAACACAAACTTGACCTGGGATAGCTCTGGCAAGTTTAGGGATTGGACTAGAAATCGACAAAATGCTGAGATTAAATTTAATTCAACCAACTTCTGTTAAGTGCAAGGCTGTGGCTTGTGAGGCTCAGGTCTCCACTCTGAATGTCCTGGAACTTTCCTGCAGAGGGGGCCAATCAATCCAAGTGCCTAAAAGAAAGAGGTCTGAGGTCGCTACAGGAGGCATCAGAAGGTAACAGGGACTTTGTTCCGGGTACAATTTCCACCAGGCTCTCATATGGCATTTAACTATGGCTCACTCCCTGAATATGAGCACCTTTTGTGATTTCCACTTGCGGATCATAGGCTACCACCATCTTCTGAAAGTGCTCTGCTTGACTAGGCTGACCACTTGCCCAACTGTAGACAAGGAACAGCTCTGTGCCTCCTTTCTGAAGATGGAGTCCGGGGGGTGGGGGAGGGGACACAGGGGGCACAGCTTCCTCTGATCTCACACTGTCACCTGATTAAGCTGACAGCATGCATTTTGCCTCTTTTGAGGGCTGAGTAAGCATCACATTTCACTACGCTGGGGAGGACAGGAAAAGGTGAGCGTGTCCCAGCCTTCCAGGATCTAAATACCAGAAGGAGCTGAGACAACCAGGAATAGCATCCCTTGAGACAAAACCAATAAAGAGAAACAGCAGAGCGTATACTTAAGATCCAGAATCCTGGTGCCAGACAGGCCTGGTTTTGAACACTACCTCAAGCACTAATTAGTCCTGTGATCATCAACCGTTTGCTTAACTTCTCTGAGCCTCGGTTCCATTTTGAAATTGAGGGCAGTAATACTTGAAAGGGAGAGCAATAATCTTGGGTTGAACCATAAGAAACTGTCAACATTTAACCATTTCTTGACCTTCAAAATTGGCATTTCATAGACCACGCTATGTTGGATTTTTTTGAATTAAAGGAAATATTATAAAAGCCTGGCACATGGTAAGCACTCAATAAATGACAGTTACTATCAACAAACAAAAGGCAAACCCACGGTGTTCTGTGCATACAAAGAAATGCGGCCCACAGATATGCTCACCATCAGATCCACCTCAGAGAGGAGGTCAGGGGATTTTTAAAACTTATTTTATCTCTTTATTTTTGAATACTGAACAAAGGAGTATATGGTGCAAAGCAAGGCTTCTTCCCACCCTGTACTCCAACAATAGTTCTCCCCAGAGGCAACCACTGTTACAGGGATTTGTGTCTTTCAGAGATGTTCAGTGCACATACAAGCATTCATATATACATTACACACAAATGGTAGCAACTATGCATACTCTACTTAATATAACTCAGAGAGTTTCTTATATCGATATATGTATATATATATATACACACAGATATATATGTGTATATATACATGTTATAAATATACATATATACAGGTATATATACGTATATATATATATATACCTGCCCCATTTTCCCTCCATGCTTTTTAATAGCTTTAATGTATTCTATTGTGTGGCTATTACATGATTTCATTTGAGCCCATCTTGATAGACTTTTGGATTGTTTGAAATCTTTTGCTAAAATAATGTTGCAATGAATAGCTATCATTTCATGCACATCAGAGTTTATCTGAAGGCCAAAGTCCCAGAAATTGAATTGTAGGGCTAGATCATACAGATTTTTAAATGGCCAAATAGTCCAAATTGCCCTCCCCTGAGGCTAATTCACACTCCAGCCAGCAACAAGTGCCTGTTTGCCTGTCACAGAGGTCTGTTTTGAATTTGTTTTTGAAGAAGGGAGAGATGGTTCAGCTGGGTCGGCCAGAGCATGCAGGACAGTGGCTCAGCAGCCACCCCGCTGTGAAGTCACATGTGGGAACCTGGCATCTTAGCATCAGTGTGTAGAAAGCACTCTTCAACCCACAAGGAGCAGAGTTCCACACACAGAAACACAACCTCATAGAGGGAGGGGAATAGTAAAGAGCGCTCCTCCCAGGAGCAAAGTGGGAGGTATAATCCCTCTTCTATAGCTGGTGACTTCTGGAGAGGGCAGAGGGGAAGCCACATTTTCTCAGCTCCGGTGTTAGTTTCAGTGAGTTTGGGACCACAGTGTGTAAGCCACCATAGCCCAGCTCTGAGCAGGCTCCCTCAGCAGATCATGGGAAGGAAGGTGGTAGGTGGACAGTGGATCACACCCCACATTTGGAATTTAGGGTGCTTCCGTTTTGAGTCTTGCCTCTTCCACTTTTCAGCTATATGACCTTGGGCAAATCACAATTTCTCTCAGTCCTAGTTTCGTCCGTTATAGAATGGGGACAAAACACTGGAAGTGATGTTCTGTAAAATGTCAAGTGATGTTACCATATACACAGTGTCCGCGGCACAGAAGACCGTGCAAAAAATTTAATGAAGGAACAAACGACTTTTCCACTTAAATTGTTATTCAAGTGATCTTTTACGCAGAGGTTTTAGCTGGAACTAAGGCTCCGTCCGGAAGTTTTATGAGGTGTATTCATAGTAAAAGTTTATAGAAGAGACGTCCCCTGGCAGGGACAAACCCAACAGAGAGCGGATTCTACTCCCAGATGAGGGACTTCATTGCCTCTGCCACCTCTATTAAGGCCGCCTGCGCCCCGGTGACCGATTCCTCTCTAAGGCTCCTAGGACACAAAGCTCTTGGTGTCATTCGGCGCCCAACTGGTTTTCTTTTCTGTTTGACTGAACTGCCCCTAGGAGTTAAGCTTAATCCATAAGGACCCCTAAGAGAGCCACCCAGAAATCACAGAAGGGATAACCCGAGATGAGACGGGGACGGGAGCGGGAGGTGGGAGAGCGAGCGAGAGCTCAGGCAACGCAGTGGAAAGCTTGCAAGTTCGCTCCGAGGGCCCTTCCCGGGAGCAACTGGATCGAGCCGGTCCCAAATTCCGGATCCTCCCTAGGAAGGCTACTTCTCGCCTCGCGGCGCGGGTCCCCCGAGCCCGACCCGCGGCTCCCGGCGCTCCCAGTCGCTGGAGTTCGTTTGCAGGTAGGGAGGCACCTGCTCCGGAATCGCCCTCCGGCCAGAGGCAGCCGATCCTCTCCACCCCACCAAACACCCACCCCGGCCAGCGCACCCCCCCACCCCACCCATCCCTGCCCGCGGGGCGCCGGGGGGCCGCTCACCTCCAGCCAGCTCGCGGGAGTCCCCGCCGCGCACCGGGCACACGGGCGCCCCCCGCGCGCGGTCCGCCGCTGACCTTGCGTCGATCTCGCCCGAGTCCGCAGCGGCCGCGGGGTCTCCGGTCCCC